TAATACGCCACAATATCTCATCGCCAAGTCCTCGAATAAAATGAGATATGAGGTTCTCACGTCATCGCGAAGATGGAGGCGTGTAGGTAGATACCAGCCTTTTAGAGTAACATATTTCCTCCATCTTCAGCCTTGAAGATGGCATTTCAGCCCAGATGACAAACACTGGGAAGTTCTAAAGCCATTACTTACCGTCTTTGTACAATGGATTATCGGAAAGTTGAGAGGTTTAAAATTTTATCACAATATTACTTCCGTAAAGGCTCCTAAAAGCTACTTTATGCCTCATCTGCATATAAGGTTCAGTAAATGTCTTTCATATATTAACGGTTCAGACAATGACGCATAGCTTCTTAGACGTACCTCTAATTTACTATCGTAACAAATAAAAGCGATATGCTTGTGCTGTATACAGCGAAATTGTCTCGGGCAAGAAACCGTGGACAAAAGCCCCAGCAACTCGATGACCGCTTTTCCCGCTTGGCCACGGGAGGAAAGTTATCATCGGCAAAACAAACCGCCATTCCCGTTGTGATGGGGGCAGAAATGGTCTTCGAAGTGACCCGTCTTATTGCCCGATAAGATCCGGGCAAGTTGATGTTTTCAATTCGAGTTCCGGATTATTCAGCAACGTTATACGAAGTGTGATAGAAAATTAGCCCGTGCCTATTCAGGTCAGGTAACCGATGTCATACGTATAGTAAAAAGACGTTACTTATTTTATACGTCTACGGTTCAACAGGCGTAAACAACATTCCTCTACATTTATCCAAACAGCTGTTCCGGTTAAATATTTACTAGAACAGTATGTTTTCCGATTAACCTCTCAGTTTTTAATGGGCCACATCACACTCTAAAAGACAGTGAAATTGGCGAATTGAAAAAAACAACGTCGAGAAATGTTTTAGCTAGTGTAAACATTTGTTATCGAGGGTCTCATTTAATTTAAGTCAAGTGAATAATTACGTTTTCTAAAAAAATAATTTTGGTTAAATATCTAAAGACAAATTTTAGCGAATGCGAGAAAACTGTAAAGCTATTAATACCTTTCCTTATCTGTCTGAATTTAAAGCAGTTTTGAAAGGAAGATCATAGAAAAGCGTCTTAATTTTGTGTATTTTAGAGGAGGACGACGAAAGGGCAGGAAAGTGACGAGGAATTATGACGACGTGTGAAATGTGACGGAAGAAAACGATGTTTTACGTCATCTCCAAAGTTTATAGTTTAGGAAATCCAGACTCCTGAAAATGTGGTTACATACTGCTTATACTTGAAGGGTTATGTATTATAGCCGTTAAGTCGGTGTGCTATTAAATTAGTTTCTGTTTCAAGAATATAATTAGGCAAGTAAAAAGCTGAACAAAGGATTATTTGGCAGAACGAGGTAATGGAGATATTCCAATAATGACGACGCGAAATTCAGAGATCCGTGGGATGAAGTTTTATTCCTTAAAGTTAAAAAAGCGTCTTGGCGCCGGATATATTAAGACAGGCCTCATAATATCGTCTTCAAAATCCAGTTTTAAGTTCATGGAGTTCATGGTACCATGTATGAAATGGAGACTAAGATATTTCTTCTTGTACCTTGGAAATATTTTATAAGATTAATTTAAATTCCCTTAAAAGTATTTACCATATCGCATACCGGTATATAAAATAATTTTATCGACTCCACAAGCATCGCGGTCAGTCGCTAAAGGAACTACTGTCAGTTTGCAGCACCACGAACCACGTCGTGCAATTTCCTACACTTTTAATTAATTCCTATAAAATTTTATTGTTTATTTGAATATAATCTACTTTTTATATTTATAGAATAATCTTGTTCTTTGTTCAAAATGTCCTTCTTATTTGATATTTTCACAAATCCTAAATAGTACAACCTAGGCGTTTATCTGCCGATACTGAATATAACACGAATACAGTCTTGCAAACTGAACAAGCATATGTATCGTTGTTCAAGAACATGAAATAATGTTGTGAGCACAAAGATACAAAGTGATAAATATCTCCTGAGTCATTTATGGTTTAAAATTTTATTTGCTGGACGTAGGTTTTGGACGAGCAGTTTATGAAGCAGTGCATCAGATAACGAAATATGATGATGTTCTGTTGTTCTATTTTATTTTAAAATAACAAATTAACATGGTGCTGTATAACACGACATGAACAGGAGAGCGCTGTTCTTCTTTTTTTCTCATCGCAACCGAAAGTTGATATTGCCTGCACTTAACCCCCCCCCCCCCCCCAAAAAAAAAATCCCAAGTCATCCAATTCTCCCTCTAGTCACGTCTCTGTAGATGATTCTGTATTCCACAGACATTATGACTAGGTTCAACAGATTCTCCTGTTACCTGCAGATGACCGTTTGCATGGTACGCACTTGGATTCCATTACAAAACGCCATCCCACCGTGACATTTTACCCTTTCATTTGCGTTGATTGTGGTTTGTTTCAAAGTGCGCGTCTAGGTCTATTCAGAACAAATTAAATCTGAAAATTCCCTGTTAGATTCACCATCTACGTCCACACGACTAAGCCGATACGGCATATCTATATGCCAATTAAATTCTGTCCAGAAATTTTGATTTTGATTAGTTAATGTTACCATCCACTTAACTCGAGGACCAAACTAAACATTTTCATGAGTTCTGTGTCGACCTTTCATAAGATGTGAATTTCTGCTACGAATATACCCCTCTCATTTCGTCTGCAAAACATCAGCATTAGAAGAAAGCAATGCAATTTACCGATTTTCAACAGACTAATTCAATACATATGTCTGAGACAATCTTCGAGTCGTGATATGTCGAGTCTTGGTAGGACGAAATTCATCTGAACAATGCCTACATTCTAAGTTCCTGCTTAAAAAAGCATAACGTGTCTCCATTACAGACATCAATTCCTTAATTACGAGCAGAGTGATTTCGTGATTTTAGCAATGTCGATAGATGTAATGCAATTAGTGTTCACTGCCGCCATATACTGGAAACTTGGAAATGTGAACACATTCATTAAAATACTTCTCGCCCGACGCTGGGTTTTCTAAGCGTCGCATAAAGCACATGCTATATGAGAACATCTGCTTTAAGCGCCGTTCCATAACAGTCGTATCTCATCATCCTGCTTTCAACCGACGACTTTTATTTTACACAAAATCGTCTTCTTCCATTTATTCTTCTTCTTCTTCTCCTTCTAGCATCGTTTCCTTTTTATATGAGTCGACGGTCATACAGAACTGGTTATTTTATGTCTGAAGACTTTGTTTTCCGACTCGGTCTGTGGGGCTCTTCTGCTCGTGTCCGATTGATATGTTTCGTAGTGCAGAAAGTTTCCAGCTCAGGGGTTCATCAACAATAATATACCGATCCTGTCGAGGAAAGTTTCGACTAAACCAGATTTCCAAATGATTTTACAATTCCTTCCTCTATTTTTTAAAAAACTCGATCCTCTACAGAGCAGCTCCCGTTGTTTATTTAATCGAATTACAGATTTCTAGCTTATTTATACCGTCATGGATTAGAACAATTCCAAACGCCGTAACCATGCGAATTATAAAGAACTCTGACCATCGCAGACAAGTGTGTTCTGAACGATCTATCCCCGTTCTCACATTTTTTAGAACACCGCCATAAAATTGACAACACGTCTAACAGCCTCTCTCTGGATGCCAATTGACTGGCATATATTCAAGCAGACGCACAAAACTGAGAACAAATATCGTTCAAGCAAATCAATGTTTATATTACGCACACAAAAGCTAGCACCAACTTTTATTATTTGTTATGCTTTTTTTAATTTTTTTTTACCAAGAATATTTTGCTTGTACCAAGCCAAATGGTTATAATGATAATGGTGGTAGTAATTAGCAATAATTTTGATTACAATTTCTACGGGCTGTCAAGCATTTAGCTAATTTTCTGCTTTAAGACAAATTAATTTGGGTTAAATTTTAAAATAAATTTAACGAGATCCTTTATAACAGTATCATACTTCAATTAAGGTTTAAAATAATAGCGGACTGATATGAAAATATCTTTCTAGGCAATGAACGTAGTTTTGTGAAAATCAGTCATGTGTTTAAACCCTGTGATATTTCATATTTTAATATTATTATTATGTATTGACTGTATGTTTAAATTACTGCCATGCTGTTACACAATTAAAAGGTTAGAATGGAGGTGCAAAATTTAATAACTGCACCAATATTTAGGCGCTGTGCTATTTAGATAAGAAATTTTAAAATGTTGTATTATTTAACATTGTGGAGTTAGTATAGAATTCAGTAGCTTACAAGTAGATTTGAGAGATCGCAGATTAAGTTTTAAATGTTTTTCTTTTTGTAATTTCAGGCTATCCCGGTACCTAACTTCACTCTCTGGCCTTGGTGATGGTAGAAATCCTCTGATGTTCTGGTGGTGGAAACAAACAACTTCTCTAACATCTGTAGCCTCTAGCTACAATCGTCGAGATAATCGATGGATTGTGGCAACGCAATTCCGTCTTCCTTTGTTTATGTGACCAAACAGCCCTCTGCACTCTCACTTTTCCTTCTTCGCCGGAAAAATAAATTGTCACATTTCCACTCTTATATTTTTTATTGTTACAGCAAAGATATGAAACGTCTTGGCCGTAATTTTGAGATATGAAAGTGAAAAAAATAAAGCAGACATTCGTGCTAACTCCTCCCATTAGTCACTTCTGTAAGTAGGTAAAGCATGCTATAAACACAAAATATTCGTGTGAAGTTCGTGAATTTTGATTACATTATTCGACTTACGTAACTCACGTCATAGTGTTAAAATTCCTGGAACATATTGAGGCGTTTCATATACTGTCATGTCTAACTGCTTTTTATGATATATATTAACACTAATGCCTAATAAACAGATCGCTCCTGAACAATAATTCGTGCAAATTTAAAATATTTGGAATGGAGCTGGCAGAATCATGTGTACTCAGGATACAGTCGTAACATAAATTACAACATCCCTGTCATGTATATATTTTGAGCATAACACGTTTAAAAAGCACTCAAAATGGCAATAGACTGGGTTAACGACACAGAGTATGGATCTGACGAAAAAAACTGCAGCCAGACAAAAGTTCAGTTTGAGAGCAGTTTGGGTGTGGCGTTGGCCGTTCCAGAGTGGGAAGCTGCAATTACAGCAGTCACACTCTCCTCTATCATCCTGCTGACGGTCGTCGGCAACATTTTGGTCATTCTAAGTGTCTTCACATACAAACCGCTAAGAATAGTTCAAAACTTCTTCATAGTGTCACTTGCAGTAGCGGATTTAACAGTTGCATTGCTGGTGTTACCATTCAGTATTGCTGTCCAAATTCTAGGACGATGGGAATTCGGCATACACGTGTGTAAAATGTGGCTAACTTGTGATGTACTTTGTTGCACAGCTTCTATATTACATTTGTGTGCCATCGCATTGGACAGGTATTGGGCAATAACCGATCCGATCAATTATGCACAGAAAAGGACTCTAAAGCGTGTTCTTTTCATGATCGGGGTTGTATGGGTACTATCTGGTGTGATCAGTTCTCCGCCTCTTATTGGCTGGAACGATTGGCCAGAGGTATTCCACAATGACACCCCGTGCCAGCTGACATCTCAGCAAGGATACGTCGTCTACTCATCTCTTGGTTCTTTCTTTATTCCGCTCTTCATCATGACTGTTGTTTATGTTGAGATCTTCATAGCAACAAAGAGAAGGCTAAGAGAAAGGGCAATGGCATCTAAATTAAATGTTGTAAAGGTCAACGAAACGCAAAATATATCCGTGAAGGAAGTGCACAACGATCAAGATTCTGTCAGCAGTGAGACCAACCACAATGAGCATCCTCTCCTATCAGACGGGAGTTCTATAACAAAAGAAAAGAAGAAGAAATCTAAGAAGAAGAGAAAGAAGAATGTCGGTGACGGTTCCTTGAAAGAAAAGTTTCTCCAGAAGCCAACTGTAATAGCTGAAGATTCTGTTACAGACATCGGCGATCCTCCTTCAGGATCGCATTGCACGGGCAGTTTGAATCACTGTGGAGATAACCACACACCTCCTACAAACACAACGACCACGACAGAGGAATCTCCTAAGACAAGAAACGAAAATCAAGTTGGGCACGCACCACCTTCTGCAATTTCCGGTTCAATCCCCGTCCCACAGTCTGGTGCCAAGAGACAGGTTCCAATTTACCAGTTCATTGAGGAGAAACAAAGGATATCATTGTCTAAAGAAAGGCGTGCAGCGAGGACTCTGGGGATTATCATGGGCGTGTTCGTGGTGTGCTGGCTGCCATTTTCCCTCATGTACGTCATTGTGCCATTTTGTGTTTCCTGTTGCCCGTCTGATAAGATGATTTACTTCATTACTTGGTTAGGGTATATCAACTCTGCTCTGAACCCCATAATATATACTATATTCAACATGGATTTTAGAAGAGCTTTCAAAAAGCTTCTTCACATAAAGCCTTAGCTCCTACCGATAGCGCGACACTTGTCTGCTCGCAGATACTTTCAAGTATTTTGATCTGAGGTATTAACCAAAAATTATACAAAAAGCTTAACATTTTATGCGAGTATTTCTTGCACTTTGCGCTTAACTGCTTAGCTGACCTTACTGTGTTAGTACAGTACTATAAATACATTTAGATTTTACGTTTTTATCTTCCCTAATGAAAATCTTACGAGCCAGCATAGCTCATTGAGCGATATAACTGAAGATTTTATCGACCGCAGATCGATTAACAATCCAAGAAAATAGTTTACCTTCATCATTATATCCAGATTGATTCTATGCCCCACCCAGCCTCCAATCAAATTCGTACCATTGTTTTTTTTTTCCTCGAAGGTAAAATAGCTGGAACGTGGAGCTGATTAATCACCTCTATGTCCTGCCAAATTTAAGACTGTGTGGAGCTTTATATTCACTCCACCATACATCTTTATGGTGTAGTGCATAAGAACATAGGCAAACACACGTTTTATTCAGTGAGAAATTTATTTTGGGACCATTATTAATATTACTCCTAATTACGAGGCATTGAACTTGTGGGCACTTTAGTTAAATGATGAGAGGGAGCAGAATATTTAGCTGTTCATTTTCCAAAATAGGATTAAAAAAAAGAGTATCTTCGACATGCATAATTCATTTTGCCATTTTGATTCTTGCAACAGGATTTTATAGAAAATTAACCGAAAATCCACATGCAAAAATAATTTCATAAATTTTACGTCCTTGATCATGCATGCGGATGAGGTAGCAAGAATGTGCGGGCGTACTCTTTCTTAATCAACTGGTAAAGATACTAGAGTACAAAGAATATCGTACTGGTCGCATGTAACTTTTCTTATTAATAACATGGCCGTCTCTAAAAATTTCAATCATTAATTCTCAATTACTTCTGGCGGATGTTTCACAGTTAATCCGGGTATTAATAATAAGAGTTAAATAATATTTATCTTTCGCCACTCAATACTCAAAAGCGTACATAACAACTACGTCAACATGACGTAAAATATCCTTAAAGTACATAACCAAACATAATATGTACTCCTATTTTTAAGATCTGTGACGTCATCACTCGAGACATATTTTCCCTTAAATGTAGTCGTTATGTTAACTTAACAAAAAGAATCGAACTGTGTACGCAAATATTTACATTATTCTTGTTTTCTAAAAATCAGCGTTTCTCGACGAGGAAGTCTTTGCTTTATTAAGAAGATGGACATTTCTCGAAGTTCTTTATTTTTTCTATTTCTCATAATGGCTAGAAGCTACTCTTAAGTCTCCCCCGAGCTTCTTCTGGCTTTATATAAACTCTGCCGAACATGCCCGTAACTTCATCTCATAGCTACTGCACAGATCCGAACTACTCTGCTTTCTACACGAAGTCGTCGAAGGAAGACAGGGGTGACCAAACCATGTTGCTT